CCTGACGAGGCCCGATAAGCCCCGGGACACAGCCTGGGCACTAAGGCGAGTCAGTTCCCTGCCAGGGCCCCAGATTCGAGGGGCCCCAGGGCAGGCGTGTTTGCAGAGGTGGGTACTGCTGGGACCCTGGGCGCCAGGCTCCCCACCTTCCCTCTGAGCCCGTCCGTCCTGGAAGCCCGGCAGCAGCAGGGCTCGGCTGTCCCACCACGAGGCCAGTCCTAACTCCGGGGGGCGGCTGCATGGGGCGTGTGTCCCGCACGCTGGGCTGGCCTCCGCCGTGCACAGGGCTCTGTCAGCCCAGGAATGTCTTTGATCAGGAGTTTATGCAGAGGGGACGCAAGCCCCTGGCCTCTAATCCGTTCCCACAGTCCCCCTGCCCGCCGGCCCCTGCCCTGAGCCACACCTCGGCCCAGCAGACAATAGCCACGGCCGGTGGGCGGGCAGCGCCAGGGACGAGGGCCGGAGGCCCACATCCGGGGGCATTGTCACCGCCACTCACAGGGCGCACAGGAGGATGGGGAAGCTCTTGGCTCAAGGGCTGCTATCGGCCCAGAGCCTATCAGAGACGACAGCGTCTGTTAATCCTTTCAAGTTTCAACTAGCAGCGAGACAGCCTCCCCAGGGCGGTCCCTCTAGAGCAGACCCGTCTAGCTGGAGGGTCTACCCACATTCTGGACCCCAAGCCCGCCGAGCACGCCGGGCAGTGTTCCTTCCCTGGTCCCATCGCAGGAGGACAGTAGCTTAAGGTCACTCAGCACGTACTGGGGGCCGGGCATTGTGCTAAGGGCCAAACACGCCATTTCCCCCTACATCTTTTTGTTGTTTTTGCTTTGTTTTGTTTTGTTTTTACGGCCGTGCCGCAGGGCATACGGAATCTTAGTTCCCTGACCAGGGATCGAACCCGCGCCCCCTGCATTGGGAGTGCAGAGTCTTAACCACTGGACGGCCGGGGAAGTCCTCTCCCTAAATCTTGAAGCAGCCCCCAGGGGTTGGTGACAGGCAGGGGACACACTGGCGAGGGGGCCCTGTGGAGCCCACGTTCCTCTCGCAGGTACAAGTATTCCCATCTTCCAGGTCAAGGGTGGGCAGGCTTCTCCACAAAGGGCCGGATAGGGAGTGTTTGGGGCTTTGCTGGCCATGGTCTCCATCTAGCTCCTCTACTCCACTGCACGGAGCAGGCAGCCACGGAGGACAGTATGGCAACGAGCACAGCCAGGCGGGATCTGGGCTGAGGGTGGGAGTGAGCCGACTCCTGCTGGGGACGAGTAAACCGGGGCCCAGAGAGGTGAAGTAACTGAGCCAGGATCACATGGCAGGGAGCTGACCGAGCCAGGCCAGTGGCCGAGTTTGTGCCTCTGGGGCCTGGGCCCCCGGCAGTCAGCTTGGCTGCCTTGCCGAGAACGAGGTCTTCAAAAATGGGCTCGAAGAAAACGCACGAAGTCTTCATTTGAGTATTTTTCACCCGACGGTCAGTGCGTGCACTCGGGGCGGCCCTGCTTTGCCAGGAGGCCCAGGGGTCGAGGTCAGGTCCACCCACGTCCAAGACTTGAAGTCAGCGGCCCCTGCGGCCAGGGCAGTGTCTTGGTCAGCCGGCCTGGAGAAAGGCGGCCAGGTGTGCTGGCAGTGTCGTCTGACGTGGCCAGTCGTTGTTTGAAAAACACTCTCACACGTGAGCACATTTTAGAGGAAAAGACCCAGGAGTTGGATCTCAGCTCTGCAACTTTCAGGCTGTGCGGCTTCGCCTTCTGGGCCTCAACTTCCTCACGCATAAAATGGGGATAGTCACGTCTATAAGAAGGGCGGCTCCGATAGGGCACCCTAGCATCTGTGACACACCCAGCACAGAAGCAGAGCTCAGTCAATCTGTTCACTGACCGCCTCCTGGGGTGACGCAAGGACCAATGGCTCGACGTCCATGAAGCATTGAGCACAGTGCCTGGTGCACAGGCGTCACTCAGTAAACGTCACCACACTGTCAGTGTGACCGCCACCACCCCATGCATCGTCCAGGTGTGCAAGGAGGCCCCGCTGGTCCCCGGTGGGTGGTCGAGGCCATCCTCATTTCCCTCCTCTAGCAGTTCTTGGTCTTTGTGCCCACACTGAGCCCCCCACCTTGTGTTGACAGCACCCAGATTTCACTCGGTGGGAACCACCGTTCTCAGCTCTGTGGCTCAGGTGGGACTGACCCCATCCCCAGCTCCAGGACAGGCGCCAATGGGCTCAAAGCCAACAGCACATCTGCCCCCCCGGACCAGTGGCAGGTTCAAGGGCGGATGTGAAATCTAACAGCCAACGAGACTCAGGGAGACATTTTCTGGAGCTTCTGGAAAAGAGAGCACTCCACTCTGTTCCTTAGGACTCCTGGGGGCTGGCACAGCCCTTCTGCCCTGATAGGGGCGTCCGTGGTGCTGCGGCCACAGGATGGATCCTGAGCGTGAAGCCGGCCGTGCGGGAGAGCAAGAGGGGGACCAGGTCTCCAGACGAGCTGCTGGAGCTGCCCATCACTGCCCCTTACTGTTTGAATCCATTTGATATAAGTTTCCTAGCATTTTCAAAGCTTCTTAACTATCACACTGTATGTGTGTTTTCTACCTTTTCTAGATGTAACATGTATTACTGATATAAACAACAGGGGCTGAGACCAGGGGAGAGCTTCGAGGCAGCCTTCAGTGGCAGACCCTGTCTCGGCCCCTGTACAGAGCCAGCGGGGTCCCCCAAAGGCAGCAGCCTCTCGGGGGAGGGAGCCAGGGGGCTCCTGTGCCTTGAGATAACAGCGTCTTTCTGGGGTGTAGGTACCACCTGCCCCTCAGAGCAGCTGAGAGTAGGGAGCTGAGGCAAATGCCTTAAGAAGGAAGCTCGCCACACGTCAGGCCAGGAAGAAGGGTCTGGACATCACCGCGTCCTGCCTCTTCACTCAGCAGACGGCCAAACGACAGCCCAGACGTCGTTATCAGTGTCCTGGGGCTGCTATAACAAGCCATCACAGAGTGGGTGGCCACATCAACAGAAATTTATTCTCTCACCGTCCTGGAGGCCGGGGCCGTGCTCCCTGCCCCAGGTCTCATGGCTGCTGGAAACGCCCAGCGTCCCTTGGCTTACAGACGCCTCACTCCGTTCTCAGCCTCTGTTCTTGCACGGCTGTCTCTCCTCCATGTCTCTCTTTACATGGCATTCTCCTCTTCAAGGACACGGTCACGTGAGATGTAGGGCCCCCTACTCTAGTACAACCCACCATAACGTACACCTGAGTCTCAGCTGCAAAAACCCTATTTCCAAAGGTCACATTCCCAGGTACCAGGGGCTGGGACTTTGTCACATCTTTTAGGGGATATGGTTCAACTCAACAGATGTGTCTGAGCTCTCAGAGCTAGGGAACCTGCTCGTGGAGCACCCTGGGATTTCAGGGGCACATACCCACCAAAAATAATGGAAGTTCAATAAATCCTTGCTGAAAGGATGGAGACAGCCCGCCACTAAGTCTTCAGTTCCATGGCCGTTTACTTGGGGCATGGGGTCCCCTGGCCCATCACACTCCTGAGTGGGTAGAAACAGGATCATATTCAGGTATCGCTCCAACCCTAGGGACCCAAGGCCCAGCTGATCTGGTAAAGGGCACCAGGGAGGTGGGGCCGAAGCGCTGTCTCCACAGGGGCCCCCAAGGGACACACCAGCAAGGGCCTCAATGTCAGGTGAGGAGTTTAATCAGCCATCAGAGCTATGGAGAAGTTCACAGGCAAGGAGCGGCTGTCCTTCTTGGGACACTGAAGTGAGCCCCTAAGTCCTGGTGGCTTGGATAGGCCCGTCCCTCTGGGGGCCTGGCCCAGCACCTGCACGACTCTCGTGTCCTGTGAGAACTGAACGCAGTGCCCGCTTTTCTCTGATGGATCATACTCGCTTGGGGACACGCTTCCTGGGCCGCAGACCGGTTCCTCACTTCACTCACCAAGGAATGGAATAACTGTGGAGTTGGGACCTCACCAGTTACTTACAGGTTTTGATCTCTCCAAATTATATGGTGTCTTCAGGTAGGGTGGAAGAGACGTTCTCCACGGTGCTGAGCTCAAATGAGAGCTCACAAAGCGAGTCATGCCAAGGTCACCTCCTCCAAGAAGGCTTCCTGCCCACCTTCCCACTCCCTTATCCCCCAGGCAGAGCTGAACGCCCCCCCACCCCGCCTCCAGGCTCCCCATCCATCCCTCAGTGAGCCGTGCTCAGAGGGTCGCGGGCAGCTGATGGCCCACGCGGTCCATGCCTCCCCTACTGCAGCCAGCACGGGTCCCTTCCCATAAAGCCGACTGTCTCTGCCGCGATCAGCTAGGTGCAAGACTGGTCACACAGACAAGCTGTGAATTACCAGGAAAGTGAGACTCCGTCTGGCTAAGAATAACTTAAGCAAACCCCCTGACCCCTGCTGTGCTTAGGCCTGAGGTCAGCCACTTACTGCGACTGCTGGCACATCGCTCAGCTCAGCTGGGAGCCCCAGGCCCCCATCTGCCGGGGTGAGGGGGGCAGGCAGCGACCCCACCTCATGGGCTTTGTGGACACTTCAGTGACCCAAGGAAGGTCAAGGCGGCCACGAGCAGCCACTCGGTAAATAAGACTTCTTATCCCTTCCTCCAAATCACTTCATTCTTTTCTCACCACTGGGTAGAGAAAAACAACAAGCTGAACGTGAAGTAAAAGCAAGCGTCTGGGGCTGGGTTCTGGCCTGTGGGTGGGTGTTTCCCACCACCCACCGCGGTGCCTCTGAGAGTACAGTTCCCACGTGGTAAGTTCAGGTGGAAGGATCAGCCTTACTCCCAATCACTGATGTTCTAAAAAATAAAATGAAGTAACTTCAACTTTTTTTTTAAATAAAATTTATTTATTTACCTATTTATTTTTGGCTGCGTTGGGTCTTCGTTGCGGTGCGCAGGCTTCTCTTTGCGGTGGCTTCTCTTGTTGCGGAGCACGGGCTCTAGGTGCGTGGGCTCAGTAGTTGTGGCGCACGGCTTCGTTGCTCCGCGGCATGTGGGGTCTTCCCGGACCACGGCTGGAACCCGTGTCCCCTGCATTGGCAGGCGGATTCTTAACCACTGCGCCACGAGGGAAGTCCCAAAGTAACTTCAACTTTTAAGTGAAATGGTCTTCTTCTCTCCCAAGTTAAGTCTGTCCAGGCAGCCAGACAGGGTGGCTATTACAGGCCACCCTGTATTCACCCTATGGCTGAATTATGTCCCCACAAAAATTCATGTTGGAGTCTTGCCCCTCAGAACCTAGAATGTGACTATATTTGGAGATGGGGCCTTTAAGGAGGTCATCAAGGTGGGCCCCAATCCAACAGGGCTGGAGTCCTTAAAGCAACACCAACACACACAGGGACGACTGTGTGAGGACACAGGGAGAAGATAGCCGTCTACACACCAAGGAGAGGCCTCAGGAGGAACCGGCCCTGCCCACACTGGGATCTCAGATTCCAGCCTCCAGGACTGGGAGACAGTGAATGCCTGTTGTTTAAGGCACCCACTGTGCGGCATTCACTATGGCAGCCCCGGCTGACTAATAATGTGGCACAAAATATGCTGGGAGTTTCCGACAGGGAAGAGCAAGCAGGCCAGAGCGGTGGGAAATCTATGAGCCCCTGGAAAGGGGGAGATCCAACAAGGGTTAATATCCAACAGGACCAGGTGTAGGTGGACAGGAAGGGAAGGGATGGGATGGGATGGGCTGGGCTGGGGGAGAGGGCAAGCAGGATACCTTTGCCTGCAAACAATGGAAGCCCTACCGAAGTGGCCTTGAACTAGGGCATTCATCAGCTCCTATAACCGAGGTTGGCAAGCAGAGCGCCTCTCGGGGGTCAGTCAGCACAGCTGCTCGGCAACGTCCTCGGGCTGGGTCCTCTCTGGCTGGGCTCTGCCATGCCCAGGTCTGGCTTCATCCATAGCTGCTTGCAAGCTGCCTGTCATAATTCCAGGTGTCGCATCCCCACAGGACAACTTCCAAAAGAGATACCATCTCTCTCAAGAGTGATGTGACCTTTCCCAGAAGCCCTCGGGTGTCCTCCACCGTCTCATCAGCCAGAAGAGCAAGCTCCCCGGACCCCATCGCTGGAGGTGGCATCACAGGGACACAGTGGTTGTGACGCGAACGGGGGCTCTGTCTGTACTGTAACCAGAACACCTGTCTTGGGTGACCAAGGGGTCCTGGAAACTAGGTCTCATCCTCCAAGAAGGAGCCAGGCTGGCACAGGTCAAGTCCGGTGTCCAGGGCCCCTGAAGATGATGGATGAGGCAGCTTGGCCCCACGGGATGGCGGAAAGGAAGTGGCTGCCGGCTGCTCTGGCTGACACCTGGAATGGGAGAGGCTGAGAAGAGAGAGACGGAAGGGGTCGGGGGGAGTGAGGTTTGGGGCAGGAGAGGTCAGTGATAAACGCACACGGTGGCTGGCCAGGGGCAGCAGGACCCAACCCTTTCCTGAACATCACGGGGCGCCGTCCTGTCGTGGTAGCTGCCTCCATGCGTGTTAATGAAACACGCAGACACAAACACAACAGAAGGCTGTTCGGTGCGACTCTGGTACCTCAACCCCAGATATCACGGAGAAAGGAATGAATTCGCTAGATGTCGCATCAAAAATGGTCCCAGGGCTTCCCTGGTGGCACAGTGGTTGAGAGTCAGCCTGCCGATGCAGGGGACACAGGTTCGTGTCCCGGTCCGGTAGGATCCCACATGCCGCGGAGCGGCTGGGCCCGTGAGCCATGGCCGCTGAGCCTGCGTGTCCGGAGCCTGTGCTCCGCGACGGGAGAGGCCACAGCAGTGAGAGGCCCGCGTACCGCAAAAAAAAAAAAATCCACCCAGAAAAACGACAACAAAAGCCCCTCCATCCCACCAGCCCGAGATAAGCGCTGCTGGTGTCTGTGACGAAGGAGCACCTGAGGCCGTGCACCCGTACAGATGCCTTTTAAGTCCGGGCAGAAGACAGAAGAACTCACACCAGAAGGAAGGCTGCAGTAAGGCTCCAAAGTTTCTGCACACAGAACGGTGGCCTTAAAGTCTCCTCCCCTTGACCATTTTTGAGGCTGCAGAGCCCCACCCACCCAGGGACACAGGAAGAGCACGGCCCAGCTTCCTGGGGACAGGGCTGGCCTCTGCTCCTCTCAGCCAGACGCCCACGTCCATGGCCACATGAGAAGCCCCAGGGCTCCACGGGGCACAGCGGGGACCTGCGGGCAGGGACCCCCGAGACTGTGGGTGCGACCGTGCATTCCAGAGCGGGCACCAGGAGACAGGGCTGAAGTCCCAGCTCTGCCGCCCACTGCCCTTGGACCAGGCAGTCTCTTGGGCCCGTTTCCTAGTCTATAAAATGGAAATAACGCCTACCTCATAGGCTCCTGAAGGGACTAAATAAAACATGAGAAGCAGGTCACAGCACTGGCACATCTCAAGGGTCAATAAATGTCACAGTACCCATCACTCCTTCCCATTAACCTGCTTCGTGTCAACCCTGTGGCTCTCATTTTTTAAAAAACTGTCCCTCTGAGCGCTGACCAAAGCCCGGGGAGTAAAGGGGAAGTTTATCCTATCCAGAGCCAACCCGAGAGCCAACCCGAGAGCCAACCCAGAGCCAGGCCTGCCAAGTGACGAGAACCCGTGAGCCAGGGGCCTGGACCCTGGCTGGACCAGAGAAGAGCAGCCCGGTGAGGGCTCTGCCAGGGCCGCGTTCACGCTGCAGAGCAGACAGGGCCCAACAAAGGACGGGCCTATGTGGAGGGGCCCCGTGGGGGACACGGAGGCCACCCAGCAGACCTCGGGGGAAGGAAGGCCTTTCAGCGGCCAAGCTGGAACCCTCCCTGCAAAACAATGAATCCCCCATCATTGTTTTGCCTTTAATCACATTTTTAAACACTTAACATACGAACATCTGTTCCCTGATGTTTCGTCTTTGTGCGTCTGTCATCCTCAAAATGAAAGTCCGGAACCTTCTGCACTAATTTTAAAGTCGGGCTGGACGTTTAGTAATGAACAAAGCTGAAGAAACACAAAAGAAAGAAAATGTTTTTTTAAATTAGAGCAGAAGTCTCTCTCTAGCTGCAGCTCTACTTGCCTAGGTCACCTCCCTTCAAGAAGTTCTCACACCTGTTCCCTACATGGTCCTCGGTTTCCTTACATCGACACACACAAGGATTTGCTTTACTGACCATTTGTATGTTACCAGTGGCCCCAAAACCATTAGTGAAATGAGCCCCCAGGGCTGCCCCAGCTACATCTGAGAAAGGCACCCCGATCAAAAAGAAACACACAGGACACAAACCTGCTTAAATTTCCCTCTAATTCTGTCTAAGTCTTCATGAAGTTTATCATAAGTAGGGTCATCATAAGGGAATTTCTGAATCATTCCAAGCAACGATTCTAAGACCTTCATCTTTCTGCTGTAAAACACAGAAATAAAGACTTTTGGTCCTTTGCACACAACAGGCTCAGCTTAGTAACAGATGCCGCTCGACGGCTTTAAAGTGGTGGTGCTGAGCACTCCTGGCCTCAGGCGCTGGTGACTAACTTTGTCATCACACGAAACAACCTTTACTCACCTGGCAATGTGAGCCCGCCCACACCCGCATCTGGACATCAAGAGCGAACTGACCTTACAGGGACGGCTCCATCCGGACCCAGCGGCCAAGGCAATACCGATAAGCACGCCGACCGCCGGTCCCCAGGTCTGACCCCAGAGCAGACAGAAGCAGACGGGAAAGAGTGCCGGGCACAGCCCTGCCTGCTCCGGACTTGGGGATTTCCCAGGATCTGCAATCTTCACGCTCACGGCCTCTGGGAGCTTAACAGCAGGTAAACCGGCAAGCCCCCTCCATCCATAGGGCAGAAACCAGTGGCTGGTGTTTGAGTTCGGCTCCCTTTCCCAGGAAGATGAGGAGCTCAGCTGGTGGGCGGCCTGGAGCGCAACCGCCCCGAGGCACTCACATCTCTCACTCACAGAGTGTTTCACATCTCTGAGCCTCAGCGTCCTCATCTGTAAAATGGGGCCTTAACGGCCACCTCCCAGGCTCTCAGGAGGATAAAGCCCAGAACGTGCTACAGAGTAGGGGCTCGATAAACATCAGTCTCCTGGCTTCATCTGGGCGGGCGGGTGCCCTCTGGGTCGCAGGCAAGCCACCCTGCCGAGCCACCTTCCCCTCACCACATCTGATCCCCAGGGTGTCAGGAGCGTGCCGGATATCTGATCCCTGGGAATCCTGAAGGACTCATCCTTAGGATGAAGCAACAGCCATTCAGAGTGACCAGGGCCTGCTCACATCTGCGGCTTTTAAACCAGTTTAGAACTATGATGGCCACCTCTTGGAGAAAACACAGAACTGCAAAAGGTCAGAAGGAGTTAAGTAAAGCAACAAAGCACTTGGTTTCCAGGGAGTTGCAAGGCAGATGCTAACACGCGGGAAACGGCTGAACCTGCCACGAAACAATGACTACCACCCACTCCCAGCTCTGCAAGCAGCGACGGGTCATTCCTGCCCTCCCCGGTCAGTGAAGCTACTCCAGACACACCCAGCCCGTCGCACGGTCAAAGCCAGTGCGTGTCAGGAGGGTGTGACCCGCTCACGGCTGGTGTAAGGGAAAAAGCCTTCACCCGACTGCGGAAGGGGCAGAGGAGCGTCTCAGGGTGGGTCAGAAAGCTACGGTCACCTGATGGAAAGGTCGCCATCCTTCAGGCTGAGACACAGCTCTCCACACAGCTTCTCTGGTGTTAAAATTCCCTTAGCTCACTGAATGATAACACACATGGCAATGTTTCTCTTTTAACATTCTTACTTGAAACATAAAGAAGCAGATCCTCTGCCCGCCTTCTACCATTTTTAAGAAAACTGTAGACTTAGAAAATCCAAAAACCATTACTCTAAGATAAAGGGTTTTAGGCTTTTAGTGTTTCAAAGGGCTCTCTGGGCTCTGCTGGTGGGGTGGGGAGGGCGGCGGCCACGGGCCCTCTGATGGACAGACCGGGGGCGCAGCTTTAGGAGGGGAGGGAACCCCTGCCCTGGGGTGCGGATTGGCAGCCCCCAGGTGCGAGACCCTTCACACCCAGTGAGCCACAGATCCCGGTGCGGGGAGAAGGGGAGGCTGTTGGAGCATTCCAAATCCGTGCGCCCCACCCCGCCTTCATGGACCGGGAGTGGGGAGCCACGCTCCGCTCCGACAGCCGCCCAGTGGCACCTGGGGCTGCCAACCACTGTCCCAACCTGACCGCCAGCTACCCGCCCACTCCCACTGAATCTTCAGAGGAAAATCTCCCCAAGATGGCCCTCGGCTGATGGACGAATCCGGTCAACTCCCACGTGCTCAGTGACGGGACAGGTCAGAGCGCAGGCGACCCCACAATCACCCAGACTATCTTGAGCATCCCTGCTCTGACATTTCAATATGGCTGTGGCCCAAGTTCTAGAAATTCAAATATTCCAAATAAGATGACAGGCCACATGGACGGGGGAATGCCAGCTTCCCTGCTCTGTTATCCACTCTCCTGGCACCCCTCCCAGGCCAGGCAAAGCCACCAGACATCAAGATGATGCAGAGCAGCCGCCAAAGCCCAGTGTCGGCTCCCATGAGCGGCAGGACGGCCTTTCACATGAGGGTGCATTTCCAGCTTAAGAGTGAAGACCGGGGGTGGGGACAGGGTCCTGGGGCTTCAGGAAGCAGCAACCAGCAAGAGCACGCTCCAAAGGCTACGGACGGGCTTCCCTGGTGGCGCAGTGGGTGAAAATCCGCCTGCCAATGCAGGGGACACTGGTTTGAGCCCTGGTCCAGGAAGATCCCACACGCCGCGGAGCAACGAAGCCCGTGTTCCGCAGCAGCTGAGCCTGCGAGCCACAACTGCTGAGCCCGTGTGCCACAACTGCTGAAGCCTGTGCGCCTGGGGCCCATGCTCCACAACAAGAGAGGCCACCGCAATGAGAAGACCGCGCACTGCAACGAAGAGTAGCCCCCGCTCGCCGCAACTAGAGAAAGCCCGCGTGCAGCAACGAAGACCCGACGCAGCCAAAAATAAAAAAAATAAAAAGGCTACAAACACTACAAATAACAGCTCATGGTTACTTAGTGCTTCCAGGTACCTGACGCCTGTGAAACACATGAAATGGGTCATCTCATTAGCAGACCTTTCAGCTACATTAAAGAACCCAGTGACAAGGGAGTCACCTTTTCTGAGCCCTGATCATACCAAGATTGTTCTGCTCTGTTTGTTACAAGCTCAGAGGAAAGACAAATGAGAAGATAATGTCATCTTCATCGTGGTTTGACTGGCAGGGTAACTAAAAGCCACTCAGCGCCCTAAGGTCTCCAGGGAAAAGGCAGGGGGATCCGAGGACCCTTGGGAAGTAATAACAAGGGATGTTCACCCAACACCAGAAATGCGCCCGGCGCTTTCTAGTTACTATTTCCTGTAAACCTCATGACAACATTTCAGGTTCGGCCTGGTTATTTCTCCATTTTACAGGTGAGGAGACTAACCGCCCAGGGTCGGAGTGAGCTATGAAACCGGAACTTCCCATCCAGACACCGAAGAAGAAAGAAGGCTCAGCTTTACCTGTCTTTCTCAGTGGTGCAGCCGTGCAGGAGACATCTCCAGGCAAAAGCAAAACCTTGGTAGCACCCGATCTGTGAATTTACGAAACATTCAAGAGTGAAATGACTAACCAACAGCTCTACTTGATCTAAATATCAAGCTCTCAAAACAAAAAGGGGGCGGGGGCCCAAGGGGCAGCGGTGCTTCTTCTCTTGCTGTTCTGGAAGCACCCACTGGGCACCAGGCTACAGAAGTTGGAGGTCAAGTCACCAGTGGGGCAGCCAGCCTCCAAGGTGGCCCCACTCGACCCCACCTCCCCACCCCCTGGTATTCCTGCCCTGTGCGGTCCCCTGACCGGATCGGGGTGACCTCGATGAGCAGAACACACAGGAAGAGGCAGCACGTGACCTCTGAATCTAGGCACTGACAGACAATGTCACCTCTGCCCTGCCGACGTGGGTCACCCGCAGTGTCTCGAGGACACTCCAGCAGCCCTGTGGAGAGGTCCACGCGGTGAGGACCACAGACCCTCAGAATCCGTGTGAGACCCCAGCAAGCTGACTACAGGCTGGCTGACTCGTAACTCCAGCATCCAGAGACCCTGAGCGGGAACCAGCCGGCTCAGCGGCTCCTGGACCGCAGACCCTCAGAATCCGTGTGAGACCCCAGCAAGCTGACTGCAGGCTGGCTGACTCGTAACTCCAGCATCCAGAGACCCCGAGCCGGCCGGAACCAGCCGGCTCAGCGGCTCCTGGACCGCAGACCCTCAGAATCCGTGTGAGATAATAAACACTGGTTGTCTTAAGCCCACGTGTCTTGTGCTGATTCGTTCTGCAGCAAGACACCTAATACAGTCCTCACGGCCTCAGACGTTAGTGTTTAGGGCCAGTTATCCCCATAAGTGAGGGCCAATCTAGGTCGAAGGGCAGGAGAAAAGGGAAATCAGGGATTTTATGGAATTTCAACAGAAATATAAATGGCATGTTTTCACAAGACACAGGGTGCTCACTCTCTGGGGGAGGATTCAGCTGCCTTAAGACACAGGGCAGCACCGTGGCACTCGACGTCGACTGAGGTGAGGGGGGACTTGTCTTCTCTTTCTCCAGCCCACCTGACTCCATCATCTCCACACAGCAACACCCTCTGCGGGCTCTGTCCTGAGACGATTTCTCCGTCAACGTTCTATCTAGCCTACTGCCATGTGAAGAGGCCTGAAGTGGTGGCTCCACCACACTGATCATCAAGGCAAACTGTCAACGGTAAGAGAAAAGGATTCCTTTCTAAGTGGGGGGTCCCACTTACCTCAGATCCGATTTTAGCTCCATGTAACGTGCCATACCGTCTTCCTTCAATCATACCCAAACTACTTCCTTCTTCGTAGCCTTCCTGATAACCTTCCCCGTGAAACCTGCAACAGAGAAGACGAAGCGTGAGCAAATAAACAGGAGAAAGAGCATTCTTCCTGCAAAAACTTTCCTCGTCCACACTACCCAGACCGAGCAAGACAAGACCTAGTACTGTAGAAAAAGAACAAAATGTAAGCCAGGAAACGTCAGTTCCAATCTCAGCTCCACCCTCCCCAAGCCTCTGCGCCTGGCAAGTCGCTGTAATTCTGGAAGCCCAATTTACCTCTTCTACAAAGAGGAAGGTGGGCTAAATCGGTGATTCCCAAACCTGGCAGAATATCAGACACACACAGGAAATTGTCAACGATACCAATTCAGGGGCCTCACCCCTCGTATTCAGTAAGTCTGGAGGAAGGCCCAGGAATCCGCTTTGCAAAATCTCCCCGGTAATTCATCTGCAGCCAGGTCATCGAGCCCCAGTTCTGGGTCTGTAAGCTAGACTGCTTGGTCAAGTGCTTCAAAAAAAAACCCAAAACCCTGCAACATGTACCGGGCTTTCCATCACATCTCAGGAGGCTAGCAAGGAGAAACGCCATCAGTTGATCACAAAATGTACCGTGACCGTGGCGCCTGCAGTAGAATAAAGGCTCTGACTTTGAAGGCCCAGCAGTGTAACTGGCACCAGCATGACTTGCGGTCGCCGAAGTGAAAGGGGTGTGCTGGAGCGCCCAGTGAGGCCGAGGGGATAGCTCCCACTTACTGGCTGTGTGGCCCTGGGAGTGACCTTGCCTCCTCATCTGAAAGACAGGGTGCAGGATAGGATCCCCTTCACAAGTAGAGCTAAAATAAATAACTGGATACAACGCTTAGCTCAGCGTCCAATTCACAGCAAACTCCAAATAAACGTCAGCGACTGTTTACTTTTCACTCTCTTTCTTAACTGACAACTACTGATGTCTCAAGTGGGCAGGGCACTGGAAGACAGCCACAAAGCAACCAACAGGTCCCCCGCCACTGCCCTAGGCGCTCCCCGGGGGCTCAGGAGGGAAAAGGAGGACGCCTGACACATTTAAGAGCATGTCCGTGAATGCTGCCGTATGTCCTACCACTGAGGAACAAGAAAAAGGGGCAGCGCCCAGATGGCAAAGGTCCGTCCCACGCGAGGAAGGAGCGTCCCTGGAGGGAGGCAGTCACCAGACCAAGCAGATGCGTGAGGCAGCCCCGGACGGGGGAGGCGGATCTAGAGGAACAGCTGGGCACGTGGCGCTCGCCCGAGAGGCCGATGAGCAAAGGAGAAGCAGAAGCATCTCGGGCCCTCCCGCGCCAGCCGCCTTCTGAGCCACAGCGCGTTCCCCCAGGGCCCGGGTGACCGCCGCAGCCCAGCGGCTGAGAGCAGACCTGCTCGGGTGGGGGCCCGGCCCAGGCCCCTACCCACCTATCATCCGCCATCACGATGGCGTCGAACATGTCCTGACTCCCGGCCATGGCGGCAGCCGGCCCGCCCCCAACCCCCGCCCCTCGAGCTCCGGTGCCAAGCGCTGCGGCCGCAGACTCACGAGCCTCGGGCACGGACGCACCGCTTCTGAGAAAGCGAAGGCCACTTCCGGGGGCGGCCGCGCGGCGCAGGCCGGGTAAGGACGGCACGCGGGAGGGCTCAGCACGCGCCGGCGCGGGGCCAAGCCGCGTGCGCGGCGGCGGCGCTGGGCGGGGCTGGGCCGGGACGCGGCCCCGCCCCGAGGCCTCTTCGCGTTTTTCCAGGGCTCCCGCCAGGGGTCAGCTACTACCCGCCTGGAGCATCCACCTGGCTGCGGGGGTGGGGGTTGGGGGGAGGGGGTGACCCGTGACCTCACAGTCAAGAAACCAGGCAGATGCGACCGAACTGCCAAAAGCGGCTTGGAAGGAATCAGGGGAAAAAAATGGAAGAGTTACCAAAGAACCAACGCCTCCGGAGGCTCTGCCAGTGGGGTTTTGGGGGGAAAAGTTCCAGGAAGGGCAATTCCCGGGGTGGAGGCACGACCCAGAGGAGAGTGGCCCGGTCGCCCACCGACCCCGACCCAAAGCCAGGGGCCACCCTCCAGTACGACGTCAGACTTGAGACCCCGCCTGCAATGCCATTAAATCCATGTTAACAACAGTAATCCAGGGACTGCAGGCCTTTGTCCAAGAAACGCAGGGGTGATCCGACCCCAGGGAAAGTGAAACGGCAGCAGGTGACAGGGAAACAGCCTGGTCGTCTTAACACTCGCTGGGAAAGGCATTATACATGTTGAAACTTGATTGAAACTGTATAGTTTTTTGAAAACTGGAAATAAAAGTTTTTGTGTTTTTATTCTTGCAGTTGTTTGATTGTAAAGCAAAAGCAGAGTAATTCATAATTCACGTAGAGAGTCAAGAATCGGCACAGAAGGGTTCGTGATTAAGAGCCACCTGTGCCCTCACTCCAGCTGGAGGCATCCCCGCCTCTTGAAAAAATAGCTTCTAGCTTTAGTCCTCCCATTTGTTATTGCTATGACAGATACTTCCTGAACACGATTTTTGAAAGGTACTTCAAACTCTCAGCCACAATAGAACATAGATATGAAATAGCAAAAGAATTCCCATTAAAATCGGGAGTAAAACGAGAGTGCCTTTATCACGTGCCCATTGAACACATTTAGGAGGTCTAACCAACACAATAAAATTGAGCAAAAAGTCTATCAAAAAAATAAAAAAAAAAAACCAACAAACTACTGTTATTTGTAGGTGTGATGGTCCATCTAGAAATCCCCGAATAAGCATTTAAGACACTCTCAGAATTCGTAATAGAGTTCAGCAAGTAGCTATATACATGGAGAATCGCCAAAAAAAATCGCTTGCTTTCTATTATTCTAACACTAATTGGTAGTAGCCTGAGCAGGGATGACTGGGGAAATCCACTATACCAAGGTCACAGTAAACTTCTTAGAAATAACAAGATTTGAGCAGGACCTATACAAAGAAAACTACAGCTATACCACCCCCCTGGATGGGAAGAAATGCAATACCGATCAGTTTCCACATGATCTGGGGAGAATGTGTCAAATTCTAAATTTCATCTGGATGAATAAATTGATAAGAATAACTAAGATGTTTTTTAAAGAGAGAATGATACGGAGGACTTGCCATACCAGGTTTGAAAAGATAGAAGTCTCCATAAAAATATTGTAGCATATTGGTTCAAGAACAGACAGATGAATGAAATAAAGATGGAATGGCCTGGAAGGAGACTCTAGGAAATGTAAAACCTTTCACATGATAAAAAGCACAACAAATGAATGAGGAAAGGGGATATGCATCAGTCACTAAAATGGGAAAATTTGTGGTTTGGGAAAAGTCAAGTTCCATTTATATCTCATACCATTCATCAAAATAGTTCCAAATGAATTAAAGACTTTTTTAAAAAGACATTTAAAAATTTAGGTGGAACATTCAGGTAAGCGTGGAGATGCATTTTTTAAAAAATATTTATTTATTTATTTGGTTGTGCCGGGTCTTAGTTGCAGCAGGTGGGCTCCTTAGTTGTGTCAGGCATGTGGGATCTAGTTCCCCGACCAGGGACCAAACCCAGGCCCCCTACATTGGGAGCACGGAGTCTTATCCACTGCACCACCAGGGAAGTCCCTGGAGATGCATTTTTAACACATGAAAAGCCACGGAGGACATCACGAAGGAAAAACCAATGCAAATGTGGTAATGAACAAAATTAAAAACTAAAGAACAATCTGGGGATATATTGGTCATAAATTTTATAACTAAAGGAATAATATTTCTGGTTTATAAAGAACTTATTCAAATGCATAAGAAATAAACGCATCTTAACGGGAAAAAATGGGCCAAGGACTTGAATATATAATTCACAGAAAAGAACAACAGCTGACTGGCAAACAAAAGTATAGCAAAGACAGACTTACTAGTAGTAAAAGAATGAGAATCAAAAGAAAAAGTTGAATTTTTTACCTTCTTAAAATTGTAAAAAAAAAAAAAAATCATCTTTTTTAGAATGAAGATACTCTCAATGCCCATGGATGCCTAAGTTAAAGCTAGCTTTTCAAAATGGAGGAGGATGATACATATATGGTAGGATATTCATACGGAAGACTCTTAAGCAACCACCAAAAATAATACTTGAAACAAGAGTAATGTCACAGAGAATGCTCGTGATGTTTAAGGAAAGAGAAAAAAACTCTAGTACACCTGAAACTAACATGATACTGTAAATCAACTATACTTCAATAAAAAAATTAAACTTAAAAAATAGAAACAAAAGGGGAAACAAAGAAAAAACTCTACATATACTCCAATTCCATCGACATTAAACAATTATGCTTTTAAAAAGACTAAAGTAAGCACACCAAAATGTTAATGGTGATTATATCTAGATTTTGGAATTACAGTAATTTTTTAGTTTCCTTTTATTCTTTTCTAAGTACTCCATGTTCGCACAGTGAACACGAGTGACTTCTATAAGAATAAAAACGTTCAAAAAATATATTTTGGGAAGATGAAATGAAATAGACTTTGTATTATTTGTCCTTTAAATGTCTTTTCATTTTTAGCTTTTTCTTTTTTTTTTCCGTAAGCAAATGAAATCACAAGACATTTGGGATGTAGGAAGAAGAGCAAAACAAGAAAGCAAGCAGGGCTTCCCTGGTGGCGCAGTTGGTTGAGAGTTTGCCTGCCGATGCAGGGGACGCGGGTTCGTGCCCCTGTCCGGGAAGATCCCACATGCCACGGAGTGGCTGGGTCCGTGAGCCATGGCCGCTGAGCCTGCGCGTCCGCATCCGGAGCCTGTGCTCCACAAAGGGAGAGGCCACAGCAGTGAGAGGCCTGCGTACCGCAAAAGAAATAATAATAATAATAAATAATAATAAATAAAAAGTAGGCAGGAAAAATCTGAATTAAACTCTCTCCTTGTTATGTTAGTTTTTGAGAAAACGTGATATTTCCTTGTGTTTATCTTAGGAACTGAAATTTCTCCACCTAATTGAATGGAATAAGAAATGATTTGGATGGGTACAATGAAAACTATCTAAAAAGGTTTTCAAAGGTATAGAGCTTTCTAAGCTTCCATTTTTAGTTCCCTCCAAAAGCTGCCTTGATTGCACTTATTCTAGTGGTTTCAAAACACTAATATTAAATACTTAATTTATAACAAAAGATATAAAGGAGATGGTATAACCAACTCCCAGGGATCTACCATATTAACAAATAAAGCACACTTTTAAAAATAGAAATGTTTTGGGCTTCCCTGGTGGCACAGTGGTTAAGAATCCGCCTGCCAATGCAGGGGGCACGGGTTCGAGCCCTGGTCCCGGAAGATCCCACATGCCGCGGAGCAACTAAGCCCGTGCGCCACAACTACTGAGTCTGAGCTCTAGATCCCACGAGCCACAACTACTGAGCCCACGCACCACAGCTACTGAAGCCTGTGCGCCTAGAGCCCGTGCTCTGCAACAAGAGAAGCCATCACAATGAGAAGCCCGCGCACCGCAACGAAGAGTAGCCCCCGCTCACCGAAACTAGAGAAAGCCCGCGCACAGCAACGAAGACCCAACACAGCCAAAAATAAATAAATAAATTTATATTAAAAAAATATGCTTGCAGGTTTCTTCTTCAACCAACATAGGAGCAAATGACGCATTTTTTTTAAAACTTGCTTTTTTTGTCCTAATAAAATGGATGTGTTTCCAGGTTAACCACTGTACAGCTATAAATCAATTTTTGTTTGGTTAGTTTTGGAGGCTGCCTAGTATTTCATGTGAATATAAAGTTTTAAAAAATCAATTCCAATAAGTCAGCACTTTTCAATAAGCTTTGATGAAGTTTGTTTTTCATTTTAGTTATATCCACCTGGTTCTCTTTGAACTTGAACAAGAATATGCAAACATTTCTATTTTTTAAAAATTTTTATTGAAGTATAGTTGATTTACAATATTGTGTTAATTTGGACCCAACACAGCCCAAAATTAATTAATTAATTTTTTTAAAATAGAAATGTTTTTAATGGAGAAGAATATGAAAAATATATATATATATGTATAACTGAGTCACTTTGCTGTACAGAAGAAATTAACACAATATTGTAAATCAACTATACTTCAATAAATTTTTTTAGAAATAGAAATATTTGCATATTCTTGTTCAAGTTCAAAGAGAACCGGGTGGCGCGGTGGGGCTTCCCTGGTGGCGCAGTGGTTGAGAATCCGTCTGCCAATGCAGGGGACACGGGTTCGAGCCCTGGTCTGGGAAGATCCCACATGCCGCGGAGCAACTAGGCCCATGAGCCACAACTACTGAGCCTGCGCGTCTGGAGCCTGTGCTCCGCAACAAGAGAGGCCGCGTTAGTGAGAGGCCCGTGCACCGCGATGAAGAGTGGCCCCCGCTCTCCGCAACTAGAGAAAGCCCTCGCACAGAAACGAAGACCCAACACAGCCAAAAATAAATAGATTAATTAATTTTAAAAAAAAAGAGAACGAGGTGGATATAACTAAAATGAAAAATCTATAGCTGTACAGTGGTTAACCTGGA